AATATTATATAGTGCCATTTAAGAAAACACTGATGAAATAATATTTTTTAAAAAGAAATAGTTTTGAAAAAAATTTCTTTCAAATAAGATAGTTTTTTTCTGAGAAGTTTTATGACAGAATCGACAAATAACAGAGGTATGTCTTTATTTCTCGTGATTCAGCCTACAGATATATATATAATTTAAATAATTTATAATTACATAATTTAATATTTATAATTAAATAATTTATAAATTTTGCAATTTTTTAGATAATATTATGTTTTATATTAATCGCTGTCTGCGAGGCGTTATTTAAATTGTATAATAACTTTTTATGAGCGACATGAATCATTATTCGGATACAAAAGGTTAAAAAATATCAGATATCGGTTGGCTTTAACAAGAACTTCCATTCTAGTACAGATAAAAGTGGAGGATTGGTTGATCTGCTAAAAATATGTCACCAATGTTAAAAGTTATCAGAAATCGAGGATACGAAGCTTAAGGAACTTCCCATTAAAAAATTCGTATTTTTATAAATATTTCTGATAAAACATTTATAACATGAATAACAAAAATTGTACATTAATGAATAGCATGTACAAATATCTTGCTTATATATTTCATGGAGTTTATGTTATATAATAAAAATTAATATGTATATTTGGTTAATCAAATGCACAAAATCAAATTTCAACTTAGTTTTGTTTTTATACCAGATGGGTATAATGAGATTAAAAAATGATTATAACAATCATAATGGGCATAATGAGAATAAACAAAAGATTATAACAATCAAACTGTTATTGAGTGGAAAATAATCATTTAATGTTTGTCTTATGTCTGTGTCTCATATTTGCTATTAAATAACTTGATATTCGTTTTAATGTGAAATTTTATATATATATGTAAATATATAATAATATATGTATTTGAAAGAATGAATATATAAGACAAAATTGGAGGAAATGATTATTCAGAAATTATATATTCTCTTTTAGTTGTAATAATAAAAATTTATTGATATATTTCTTCCATAAGTCTTTTGATTTTATAACAGTTTTAATACATACTTGACATACTTTCAACTAATCTTAAAGTTTAATCTTGCGAAATTTGATTTCACTATGATTCAACTCAAGCGTATATAATTTCAGCAAAGAAACATTTATCGATCAAAAAATTATAAACTGGAAAATTTAATAAAAAAATGTTTTATTAAAATAATGTAGAAATTGTTAAATTATCACATTGATATACTATTAAATAAGTTATATGTAATCCTTTGATATAAGTTAATATATCACTTTGAACCTGCAATCATATTAAAATTAACAGTTCATGTTCGAATGATTAATTCATGCTCTCTCCATATCTTTCGACAAAAGAAAAGGACTTTGAAACCGCACATGTATACCGATGAGTTGGCAGGCTAACAGTTCGTTATATTACAGTTGCTATACGCATAATAATATATATACAGGATGTCTGAAAATAGATGGTATAATAACATGTATATAAGATCGATTGTTGCAAGAGAAATATAAAGTGCTGGAAAAAAATCGTTTAGAGTTAATTTTCAAAATCTATAAGAGAAGAAATATAGAG